GGACGGGGACACGTCTCACTGAGGGACAGAGACACGTCTCACTGAGGGACAGAGACACGTCTCACTGAGGGACAGAGACACGTCTCACTGAGGGACAGAGACACGTCTCACTGAGGGACAGAGACACGTCTCACTGAGGGACGGGGACACGTCTCACTGAGGGACAGAGACACGTCTCACTGAGGGACGGGGACACGTCTCACTGTATGAGGACAACACAGACTGAGGGGTCCAGAGTGCTGCAGGACTAACCTGTTAAACACCAGACTCTTATTTTGAAGGTGCACATCCAGACCTGTCAGAATAAAACACCATAAACCTGGTTCTGAGGGACCAACAGAACGGCCCGGTTCGGGCTCAGAACCAGGTTTWTGGCCTGCACTGCGGCAGCAGCACAAACAGAGGTGCGACCTCGAGAAGTTAACGAGGCGCGCCGGCGTAACGGGGGTCTGTCCGTGGTCAGCGTGACAGAACCGTCCTGCAGGCGAGCGGCGCCGACCCGGTTCTCTTTACGAGGAGCCATCAGAGAGCCGTCAGCTGTGAAACGGGCTCTTCGCCTAAATGAGCTGCATGTAAAACAGGAAATAAAAAGAGCGGCGAGAGGACACCGAAGGTTCTGATCCGTTTAGCCCGCGATCCAGAGGGTCCGATCCGGTCAGAACCACGAGATCGGAACTAAACCCAGACTTGACGGCCCGCCTGATCGGGTTCTGAAAGGACTCACATCTGAACCAAGCAGCAGGTTCTAACGGGTCAGAAATTATTCAACAGAACCATCAGACCTGGTTCAGAACCCCTTCATTTCACAGCTTCAGTATCAGCTGCAGGGTTCAGTCAGAATGAGCTAAACCAAGCTAAAGGCTAAAGGCTAGAAGCTAAAGGCTAAAGGCTGGGAGCTAAAGGCTAAAGGCTGGGAGCTAAAACCCACTTAACTTCCCAGAGTAATGGTTTTACTGCAGTACACCCAGTATTACTGCAGTACACCCAGTATTACTGTAGTACACCCTGTGTGCGCGGCAGTATTACAGCCAGTACTGCAGCAATACTGGGTGTCCTGCAGTATTACACGTAGTACTGCAGTATTACATGTAGTACTGCAGTAATACTGGGTGTACAGCAGTATTACAGACAGTACAGCAGTATTACAGACAGTACAGCAGTATTACAGACAATACTGCAGTATTACTGGGTGTACAGCAGTATTACAGACAGTACAGCAGTATTACAGACAGTACAGCAGTATTACAGACAGTACTGCAGTATTACTGGGTGTACTGCAGTATTACAGACAGTACTGCAGTATTACTGGGTGTACTGCAGTATTACTGGGTGTACTGCAGTATTACAGACAGTACTGCAGTATTACTGGGTGTACTGCAGTATTACTGGGTGTACTGCAGTATTACAGACAGTACAGCAGTATTACAGACAGTACAGCAGTATTACAGACAG